TTTTTTTTTTTTTTTTTTTTTTTTTTTTTTTTTTTTTTTTTTTTTTTAAACTCAAGAGAAATTTTCCGGAATTTTGACTTGAGCTCACAATCACCCCTGGATATATCATGTTGTTTTTTGAGCTTATGAAGCCAACTAATTCTATATTCATAAATATTTTCAAGTTTTAGTTTAGAACCACTTAGGGTCGAGTTCTGTGGCTTGTTATTGCCATTTTTTTCAAATTTTAACAGAATTTTTTTCTGCTTCAAATAGATATCAGAGTTGATAGTTTTAGTGGACTCAGAATTGAATTTTTTTAGTTTTTATTATGAGATTTGTAGTCTGAAGTGAAATGCCTGCGGCAACAGCCATTATTTGTTCTTGGGTGGTGCTGCTGATCTATGGTTTTCCAGATTATCAATGCTTGATTATATATCTGCATTTTAATAACATATTTATGTATATATACGTATATATATGTGTGTATTATATATATGTGTATTATATATATGGATATTATATATATGGATATTATATACATGTATATCATGGTGCGTAGCTTTTTTTTTTTTAAAGAAAGTGCTTAAAGGTGCTTTTTTATTGGATGTTTTTAAAAAGTGCATAATTTTCCTTTTTCAAAAATGAGATATTTCTCTTTACTATGTCGATTTCCTCTACATATTATGCAAAATCGTTGTTTTCACATTGTTCTATTCAACGAATTCCCAATTCATTCAAGCACAATGCATTTCGGCGTACCATCGGTCTGTAACTTATGAAAGTGCCAATAGTTATGCATGATTGAAAAAATACTTGCGAGTCTGCATGTGCCTCTATTGAGCTGGGTTCAGTGAGGTTCTTGCATTCTCATGGGTAACTCTGCTGCATTTTGTAAGATATTCTCAATTTCAGGCTTCATTTTTCACCCTCTGAAATCAAACCAAATAAATCTCTCGATCTTCTTATGTTGGCTAATATAATCAAGAAAAGAGTTCTTTATCAGAAACTAGTTATTTTATCATAATCGTGTAAAATCTTTGAAAATTATTTTGCATTTTTTTAATGTATATAGTGCTTAAAAATATTTTTGTGTACTTAAAAAGTACTTTAAAGGTGCTTATTTTTTGTCAAAAAATTTGGTGACGCACCCTGTATATGTATGTATTATAAATTTATAACTAATCTGGGTCATGTGGTAATGATAGAAATTTATTCAATTGATTTAGTGAAATAAGGTCAAATCCAAAAGGAAATTGAGAGATGGAGAGAATTTAATTAGGGTTGAATTCTGTGGGTTCTTATTGCCATTTTTTCACATTTTGTCAGAATTTTTTCCCCCTCCTCGAATAGACATTAGAGTCAAAAGCTGTTATCGAAAGCAGAAATTGATTTTCTTTTATAAGCTTAATAGTCTGAAATGAAAATCCAGTGGTTTTCGGATTATTGATGCTTGATGGTATGTCTGCATTTTAATAACATATGCATAGATATATATATTATTAATTTTTATACGAACTATTTCTTATGTAGTTATGGATAAAACAACAGCGACTGGTATGGATCCAAAAGAAGCCGCCGAGAGTATTATAATAGCTACAGCCTCTAAACGAACTGAGCTAGTTTTGGCTGGAATGCTTCCAAAACTAGCTATTCTCATTAGAGATCTTTGCCCATTGTTATATTTTTACCTCATGGGTAGTAGAGCACGTCGCATGAGAGCCTCCAATATGATCAAACAAGACTAGATTATGTGCCATAAGTTACGTATTTTATATGTTATAATCTGTAAATATATAGAAATATTTTTTAATTTAAACTTATTTGTTACAAATTGTGATTTGTTTATTTAGTTTCCTATTATTAATTTATATTTCATATGCTCTTTTGAACTCTTTAATGCTGTTCTCTAAGTACAGAAAAAATTGTACAATTATATGTTCAAAGGAATTTTTAAACTGTGTTATTACAAATTGTGTTTTGTTTATTTGACTTATTATTGATTTTCTTTTCAACTCCTTGAGGATGTTTTCTTATATTCAAGTACAGTGAAACTTTTACATTTTCATTTCCTGTTAGAAATTAGTTGAAATTAACATTTCAACTTCACTTTGTTGTTTTGAAATAGTTTAGTTTGAGAGCTAAAAAAAATCACTTTGACTTATCCCATTTTGTTTAAAAAATATTTCAAAGTTAAAAAAAAACTTTGAATGCATGATAATTGAATTATTGAATAAACTTTTTATTATTGTTTTCTTCAAATTTAAAATTTTAACTTAAATCTTTAAATAAATTGCGTTAGGCTAAGATACTTTTTAAATAAAGAATCGTTGGATCACAATTAATTCAAGTTATATTATGATTTAAAAGATAATTTTCATATGTTTCATATGAAATATGTAGATGTAAAATTTAGCTATATTTAAGCATTTGAAAATATTAGTTTTCTATTTAAAAGCTATCATAAAAATAACAAATTATCATAAAATTTAAGTTTACAATAAATATTGTTATTAAGTTAATAATTAATAGATAGGATTTTTGAGACAAATAAATGAAAGTTTTATTTAAATTTGATATTTCTTTTTTATTTTTTTATTATTTTCACATTATATGTCATAGTTGCCAAAACAGTTGTCCTAGTCATTTCCTAAACTTACATTAGGGTTAACTCTATTGCTACATTTATCTTTTCAAAAAGTTGGAAAACCTATTGTTAAAATTTTAAATTCTTTCTTTAAATGAATAAATATTTAATTCAAATAACAACTAAAATAAAAGATTGAAAGAATGTGTAAACAGTCGTATTCTATATGTAACGTTTATTAAACTATGTCTTAATAAAGTATTATTTTGTGAAAAATTTATAATACTTTTCCCCCATGAATTGATTTTTTTAACTAATGGTGCTTGTTTACTAAACTTTCTAGTTCTTTTCAGAACACGTTGATTCCTATATTTAATCTTCCACATAGAAATGTTTAATATTTCATTTTTGTTTTCGTTTCTTAGAAACTCTTTAATATTTTCCCCTGTGACATTTTAGTTCTGTTAAAAAGCTAATTATCAATGATGTTTTAATATTAATTGAAAAAATAATAGTTCGAAAAAGATAAATTGCGGTTATGACTTAAGTTTAAAAACATAATTTATGGTGTTCATTAATACATATCCAATTTAATTCAATTAAAGTGTCTCTAAATTGCTCTTAATGAGTTGTTATATTCAGTTTTAAAACTCATTAATTCTCAATCTTTGTTCTGTATCAGCAAAAACTTTTAAGTTTTTGTTTCATTTAAATTATTTTTCATGTCTCATTTTCTGGTGTCAAGCTCTACTTAAATGCAAACGCAAAAACTTTTCTTAAAATAACCAATTTTGTGTTGCTTGTGGAGGTGTTTCTCAAAATTATTTTGTCCATAGTGATTTTAAAAAGTTTCAGAATAAATTTCTGATTAAAGTCAGTCACTCTAATTAAAAAGAATTTGAGTAAAAAGCTGAAATAATCCATAAAGTAGTCATTTATAGGTTCTTTGAAGAGGTTGCTAAGATTCGAGGAATAAACATGATAACATTACATACATAACATTTTGTTGACAGTTACATGACATTTTATTAACATGGTTTTTCTCAAAAAACTTGACCATGATTAAAATGTTTGGGCTTCGAAATACTAGGACAAGAAATACTAGGTGTTCTATTAATGCGCATCAATGATCTTTAATGATTACTTTTTTTTATTTAATTTTAAAAGCACTTACTTTCCTCATCCATAATTTTATTTTTATTATAAAGTGATTATTATTTATTTAGTGGCAAAAAGAAAAAAAACTGTCTTTTGCACTTTTTTGTATGGTTACAAAAAAATATTTGAATTCCTTTGGTGCTTTCTTATGCTTATTATTTTATGCATCATTTTTTGGTGTTTGGTTTACTTCAAATTTTATGTGCTTTTTTTTTTTTTAGAATGGTAGTGTAATCATTATCTTGCCAATTTAAATGCATTGATGACTAAAATAGATTTTGTAATTATCTCACTATGTATTTAAATATAGTTATCCTTTTATTTTATGATAATAATTTTGTATTAGAGTTTTTACTTTGTATAAAGAAAGAGTGATTCCAATAAAATAATAATAAGTCTTCATTTTCTGAATTATTCAAGTAAGTAGACTGCATAAAGAATTGGTGCTTTTATCTCTTAATGGTGTTAAGGTTAATGTGCTTTTTACCTATTTTGTACACTGATTTTGAAATTTTATTGGATTTTATAATTCAAAATAATTTAGAAAAAATACGAACAAATTGGATACTAAAATAAGTTAGATATATTTAAAAACATTAGGTGTTTTAAATTCCAGCATTGTTAGTGTATTTTTTTTTTACTTTTGTATATTGTAATGAATTTGTATTTTCAATATTTTTTCATGTGACTTTGTATTTTTTGAATGTTATTATAACATCCTTTAATAAGAGAGATTATGATAAAAATAAGAGATAAACTACTTTTATTTATGATTTTTTTTGTTACGAAAGTATTTATTTCAAAATTATATCAAATGTTAAAAAATAATTATAGAGCTAATAATATTTTTTCGAAATGAGATGGGATTATTTTTATGTATACTTTTTTTTTATACAGATATTAGAGCTCTTTTTCCGTTTTATCAAATAATGTATAATTTCTTTTATATTTTTCTGTTTCTTAAGTAGTTTGCTTTAATTGCTTCTTAATTCAGTTCTTATAATTTCATATGTTCAATATAATAATTTCTTACAAAATGTTGAATTATTCATGTCAAATATTGATAATACTGCTAAAAATAAATATAATAAACAGACATTTAGTGCTCCTTCAGATACTGTTCCCAGGCCCCATAGGCCTATGTGATAAAAAGGCCAAGACTTAAGTTGTGAGAAATGAATAATTTAACGTTAAATACAACAGTTCGCTTTTATATACGGATACCGATACGGATTTTGAATACAGATTAACTGTTTTGTTCTTTTCATTTGATTGAAAAATTTTTTTCAGCTAAGTTATGATGAATTTAGAATAACACTGAGTTTTTAACTAATTTCAGCAGTCAACAGATTAGTTGCATCAGTAGTTGAGTTAAAAAAGGTTTTGTTCTCTTTTTTATTACCTAGGATGATTTCAGTTCGGAATAATAAATATAAATTTAGATTGGTTGTCAACTTTTCAAATTTCATTATATACTTCTAAGAGTTGAATGACACTGATTTATATGTAATTATATAAATTTATTGCAATTATATAAATTATATGTAATATATTAATTGCATAATCTATATTATTAATTCACAAGCACAACAGCATAACTGCCAACTTGTACGACTGTTTAGAAATAATTTTCTACTTCAACATTAGCATTTTGGCATATTAAATCTTGAAGTTTAGAAAAGTTTCAAATTTTTTTTTAAAACTATCACAACGAATGAATAATTAAAAAAAAATGAATTGATAAGATCTATTTGGCGGCTAATTATGCTTATAGATGTCTTAATAGTTTTCTTTTTGGAACATTCTTCCAAACTTAGTTTTTATTTTACTACCACTGCGTAAAATCTTTTTCAACAATCATACAAGTTGGTAGCTGGTGTGCTGCAGATTTTGTTTTGCTTTATAAATTCTGAAGTTCTAATTTCTGCCTTGTAGTGTAAATAGTTGTGCCATTAAAAAACAAATATTAGCTTTTTATCATACATTTTTTTACAAGTTAGGAAAATAATCAAACTTATATCCTCACTTTTAGGAGTTATTCTGACTGAAATAAACTCATAATTTGAAGTTACAAATAGAATAAATGAATCTTATTTTAAGTGTAAACTATTTGGTGCTTCTACATTTTTAGTTTGTAGTTTAAATTAATATTTTCTCCAATACACATTTTCTTCACAGAAGAAAGCATGCAGGTCAAAATGTAATATTCTATGTGCCAGATAGTTCAAAGAAAGTCTTTTGTATTATTCTTTCTTAGGTACTACTTATTTTTCCTAATAAAATTTCTAAGTTTAAGGAAATTGCAACTAAAAATATATAGCAATTTTGTATTTTTTATTTAAAAAGTAATATTGATTTGTATAAATTTGTATAATGTGAATAATAAAAGTTATTTTGATAGAAGTTTATTTTTGTTAATTTTTTTTTTTAACACTGAGCTCTTGTTTATTTGCTTTGGAAGATGCTGGACGTGTTGCTCTTTAACGTAATTATTGTAACAAAGAAAATAATTTCATTGTAAAATTTTTTTTTACTTAAGTTGAAGTAGTAAATTCCAAAATAGCATTTGTACACAACTTGTTTCCGAAAATATTTCTTGATATTCCTTATTTTCATTAACAGCTATTGATTTTAAAAAACAAAAAATAGTGATAAATGTATTATCCCTTTATCACTTACTTTCATAATTATTATTTTTCATCTTTAAATTTGTATTTAAAAAAAGTGACACAGCAAAAGTTTTTTTGCTAACAAATTTTTCACTAATAAGCTTTGTAAAACAATTTTACTATATTCTTCCTTAAATTTTACTCTTTTTCTAATTTTTTATATAAAGCTTTTTTCGATTTTTTTGTTACATTTTCATTGATGTGGAAAAATAACCACACTGCCCGAAATTTCTCATTTCTTTATCGTGCATTTTCCGCTGGTTTATAAAAATTCAGGTAAGTTTCTGGAAGTTTGGATTTTTCGATGCAGGTATTAGGTTCACTAATTTGTTTTTGAAAAGTTATACGTTCGGTTCACTAAAACAGAATTTCTATACTCTGGTTTGATACCCAAGTCTTTTATATTTATAGTTTTAGTTATATTTAACAGTATAATCTTAGTTGATTATAATTTTAACATTCCATTATTTATTTATTTTATAGTATAATGTGATTTAATTATAACTTTAATATTCCATTATTTCAAGATAGTTTTTTAAGAGCCATGTTTTCTTGCGTGTTGATTTTTTGATGATAAATGTTCTTGTTAAAAATGTTAATAAAAAATTGCCGCAAATTATTATTATTAAATCTGATAAATCTTACTTCTTGAGTCATTTTAAAATCTTAGTCCTTGATGCAGCATTTATACAAAAATACTGTTGGTTAATAAATTTGCTGAACACGAACTCGTTTTCTTGATTGTTTTTAAATGCATTCTTTTAATTTTTTTTTATTGCTCACATTTTTCTTATCAGTTGCTGTTTTAAGCCTGCTTATTTCTTAAAAATGAAGATAGACAAAAGGGAACAATGGTATTAACGGAAGTGTTTAGTAAAATTATCTTTTAATCAAAAACTAATTTATTACTAACACACAATAGTTTTTCTACTCAAATTTCATTGTTTATTATGTTTTATTTATTAAAAGAATTTTTCAACTCCAGTTTTTCTTTCCTAAATATTTCCCACTAATTTCATATAAGCGTTAAATTTTAGAGAGAGTGTTAAGTCAATAACTAAATTCCCTTTTTTAAAAAAAAAATAATTTGCTTGTTTTTTTGGTATTATGTTTCAAATCGTTCGAAAAGAGATGTTTCGTTAATTTTCAGATCATTAGGTGGAATGTCAAGTTCAGAAAAAGGAACTTTTACGGCACTTTATTTTAATCAAGGTTTTAAGGCTTAAAACCAACATCTTCTAGAAGAGAGGAAGCCTTCGCACGGGAAATCCGAGTATAGTTCGTTCACCAGGAGTTGAGACTTGGCTCCACCTCCTCGGACGCAGAGTTCATTTCAGCGCGGGGGAGTAAGAGGAAAAACATCTCCGTTGTTGAAATTGAGACAACCCTTAATTTGCGCCAAACACAGAAAGTGAATTCTTTTTCACTTACTTTGCTTTATCATCTGCTAATATACCTTTTGTTACACTAGCTAATTAAATATAGTTTAAATTTAAAAACTGTTGTTCTCCCAGCGAAATGTCTCATAAAGGACAAACTATTCACTCAAAAGAAAGAAATATCATAAAAAATAGTGTAAAATATCATCAAATTTATGAAATATTCATTGTTAAAAAAATGCACATAAAGTTTGCGAAATAAATATTTTTGCCAAACGATCGCCAAATAGCAACATTGTTCAGGATTGCTCACAACCTTCTCCCAAAAATAGCGAAATAGTATCGTCGCATACCACGTGATGAAGGCGGAGCCAAGTGCCAACTCCTGGTGAACGAGCTATAGTAGTCCAAACGTTGTGACATCTTTATAATTTAATCCCACTGCGCAGTTTATGTTCATTCCTTCGGACTACTAAAGTAATCTAATCGAAGGCCTTGCTACTTTAGGAAGTGTTGTTAAAACGCTGCTCGTGTTAAATGTGTTGCGTACGGAGAGGGTGCCATCGTTGAAAGAACAGTTCATGATTGGTATGCTTGGTTTAAAAAATTGAGATTTCTATCTCAAAAACCGCTTCTTACGGGCTGGCCATTTGAGTTCAGTTCGATGAAAAGCGATATAATCAAATTTAGCCCGAAAGTTCGTGTCAAACGACAAGAGAACTGGCCGAGAAAGAGAAAGATCTCCCATTTAAACTTTTAAAAAAATATAAAAAAAGTTTAGTTACCAATTCCATAAATTTATATGACAATAATCTAATGTTTCGTAAACTGGTATAATTGTTCTCTGTATGATTACGGTTAAAACGTTAGTGATCTGCACACTTAATTCTAATAATTTGATCTCAATTGCTCCAAAGGTTTCAAAAGACTCTTATCATAGAGAGAAAGTAAGTTTATGTTTATTTTTTTTTGTAATGGTTTACAAATAAATAATTAAGTTGTCTACTGAATTGAAATTGAATTTGTCTACTGAATACGTAAAGGCGTCAGCAAAATTTTGTACTCAATAGCAGATATAAACCACAAAATGCCGATTTAATTGGCATCAAGGTTGGCAAAAGCCCTGTTTGTTTTTAAAAAACCCAACCTGTCTGTTTTTTTTAAACCCCCATTTTTTTAGTCTGTTTTTAAATTTGTGTTTTTTCCACCAGAAAATATACTTAATCAGATCGAATGTACTTATGCGCATTTTAATAAGCCTCAAATTAGGCTTAAATATAGAGGCATCGGTATGGAACAATAAATGGTATATTAGTAGCCTATAAATATCGCGGATCATTGCAATAAGCCTATAAATTGTTAAGCTGATTTTATTTTATAACCGTCGTTGAACAGCCGACCCGATTTTGAATTTACGACTACCAATGTTCAAATTCGTAGCCTTTGTAATTCTGAGCCCAATACAGAAGACGAGGGAGCTTCTGGATCACATAAGTAGAGACTAAATCAAGTATTGGGAAAAATTTGCCTTCGCAGAGGTCTTATTGGAACTACCCCACATTTGCGATACATGAAGAGGAAAACCTCCCACGGTTAGCCTGACGGCTAGGGGACTAACCCATGATTCCTTTAATAGTGAGGATATTTTACATCGGCATTGTAGTCAGAGCGAGTCGGGTGAGGGATTCGTATTTACTAGCCACCGTTGGGATTCGAACACGGTTCACCTCATTGTGAGGCGAACTCTCTATCCCTCTGAACAATTTTCAAATTAGACTGGCGCATTGCATATTGATGGCAATGGTTTGTAAGGAACCTCATTTTCCAATCAGTCAGTTGTTGAGAATAATAGGCATTTGGTTAATTTATATAGTGATTTATCAATAGGTTATAAAGTCACGATTTGAATTTGTCTGTTATATACATTAAAAACGACATATGCAATTGTAAGTTGTCAAGCAAAAATTAATTGGATTCAATTGGGTCAAAATTGTTATCATAGTAAAAATATGCTACAACTCCCACCGCACACAGCGTCAGCGCTGTTCTCAAGAAATAAGATCCGGTTTGAGGTTTCCTGACTAGCACTACTTCTAAAGTCTCTGCAACCGTCTGATGTCCGTTCGTAAACTTGTTTTTCGGCTGAATTCCATAGTTGGCTGATCTATCTGTTTTCCACATGAAGGCATGCATCAGATGCAGAGCTAGACCGCCGATAGCCAACGCTCGAGGAAAACTATCTTTTCTATGAGAGCTTAGAACTAACGAACTTAGAGACAACGTACTGGCAGCATTTATTATCATAATTCCAGCGTTCCACCACATTTTTTGAAGTTCTGCCAGATGAAACGAGCGTATAATGATGACGGGATCTTGATTTTCCATGGCTTTTTCCAAACGATCTGACATGGTGCACAGCGTCTCGGATTCTGTCTCTCGGTGGATGAGAGTTGCGTACGGGTACCATCGGCGCCAACTGCAAGTGAAAATGATGGAATTATTTGTAGTTTCATTTGGATATTATTCATTTAATTTCATATGCACGCATGATGAATATATTGCATAAGAAATTATTTTAATTCCGGGTTTATTTATAAATAAATTATTTATTTAGGAAAATAATCCAATTATAAAAAAATAAGTAAATAAAATAACTGCTAACAAGACGATATTTTCAATTATAAAACGACTACTTTAATGTTTCACAGAGCAGCATTTCTTGACTTGGTGATACCTTTAGCTAAGAATGCTTAAGGGACTTCTACGTATACTATCTTATATTCGACGTCAATATGTGCCCTTAACAGTACTCTAGGTAAATATTTTCCCACAGAGATTATTAAAATTAACTTTGATGTTTTAATATTTTTTTCGTAATAGGTAATGTGATATAATGTACGCAGATGTACTTATTCAAATATGCTGTGCTACTTATTCAAATATCTTTTTACTTTGAGAATACGAAAACCAACTTTTTTTTTCATTAAAAAGTGTCTACAGAACAAAAATGCATAGAATGAAGTAGAAACTGGCTTGCTATCACGAGAACTTCTCCAGATATCAGACTCGCGTGCTGGCGGTTATTTTAGAAGATAGATCATTTATTAGAGGGGCATTCATATTTTCCTTGATTGGGAGAGACGTTATGTCATTTGGTCAATTCTTTATTATTAGAAATAATTTTAGTCTTCTTTCTACATCAGTAAACAATCTTTCAGCTTGGGGGAGTTCTTGCGATAGCTTGACAATACTTTTTAAATTGGTATTACATGCAGGGTCTGTCTTAAAAATAGTGCACATGGAAAAAGAGTCTAGAGATGAAAAAGTCTGATATCTGGAATAGATGAATGGAGGTGCTATATTTGACATTTTTTAAGGACATTTATGTTGATACATTATTTTTGTTGTTACTTAAATTTTTCCTTTTAATTGTCTTAGTCTTTTTAACGTTTGATGTAAAAATCATGTAAACCTTAATTGATTGGATTGATTAAATTATCTATTGATCAATGCGAGTCGCTGCCGGGTGGTGGTGGGTATATATCTTTTTCAATAATTATAAATGCTTAAAAGTCTCTATCTCAATGTTTTAGACAAATAAAGAAAATTTTTATGAATCATCATTGATTTAAATTTATCAAAATTAAAAATGAGAAAAAAATAAGAAAATAAATAATCAATCTGTTTGCATGTTTTAGTAGACATAAGAATTTTTTTTTCTTATGTGTGAAATTTAAAGAGTTATTGTGTCTGTGTATTTTAATTTCACCCCCCCTCAAAAATTGAAGCCCAGCCAAGTCCTTGAATTGATCGAATTCGCGTAATGTGTGAAATCCTGTCTAATGTGTCAATTTATCCCAATCTTGTCCTGTATTAATGTCTCAAAAGTTACCAATTAGGCTTGGATATATAGAACGACTGTTTCATAAACAACAATTACTAGTGGTATTTTACACTAATTTTTTTATTGAATTTAAATTAAATATATTTTAGCTATTATTTTTTTAAAACAAAGTTAAATACACTTACTATTGTATTTTTTGTCTGGTTTTGCATTTGTCAAAACCATTTGTTTTGACATCGGAATTTTTTAGAAAGCTCATTAGTAATTGGATTAAAGTAATATAAACAAAATTATGTCAGCAAATAACAAGAATGCTTTTTAAAAGCTTAACACGGAAAGGTTTTCACTTTTCCTGTGTTTATTTAAAATTAACTGTTATTGTTTTTGTTATGAAACTTAATCAGCTTTTACTCAGATGGTTTTCTTTTTATTGCTCATGCCCGCCTCCTTAAATTAAACTCCACAACAGTATAAAATATTTTTTTTAATGGAAAACTTATAGAGACGTCAAGGCTGACGTTACTAGTTCTTTGGAAATCTATCAATGATCAATAAGTTATAGATTCAACCAATAGGATTCGTTTCTATTGGGATAGGAATACGAATCGTCCAATAGGAACAGTACAAAAGGACATTGATTGAAGATAGTGGGACACTGATCCAGTTCAGCCTCTGACTTAGCTACCTCTATTTACAGAGGGCGAAGCAAATATGGATGCAAGTTTCAATCGTTTCCTGACCACTACAAGCATAGTTTATTGTCATTTTATCAACAATAGCGAATTGATAATCATTAAAAACTGCTATTATTTTCCGATTAGCTAAAGCACTCATTATTAACCAGAGCTTTGAGCTGTATGACAATGCAAGCATCAATTATTTCCTGATAACAAAAATGTAGAATTTATTGCTATGGAAACTTTATTGGCAATCAAAATTTGGACACATTCCAACTAGCGCGACACAACAAAGTGAAATGTATCACCAAATTTCAACATGTGCTCTATGCTGAATTATAATCGTTTCCTGGCAACTACAAGCCCCATTTTATAGCCAAATAGAATGATCGTCAATTAAAATTTCGATCAATTTTCGAAAAGGGAGACAGGTGGCCATATCTCAACTGGAGGATTATGCCTGATGGCAAAATAAGTTTCAATAATTTTCAGACAGCTATTAGCAAAATATTGCACAAAATAGAATTTAAAGTCAATTGACATTTTGACCACTTTCGGACTAGCTAGAGTATTAAAATTTCAATTGGGTACTTGCACTTCAAGAAGAAGATCACAAATACCCACACATGTGACCTATGACGTCAGATACAGCTAATCATTTATAAGCAAAACGACGTGTTAAAATTCAATAAAGTTTCTCCACATAATTTAGGATGTTAATTAACGTGAAGTTAATTAAATACAGCGCTGTATCTCACATAGAATTTTTTGAAATATAATTCTTTCTCGTCTACTACTTAACTTAGATTTATTATTTGTTATTTGTTTGTTATTTGCTTAGTATGTATTTAATTGTAACCGTGATATACTTTTACTTTGTGTACCTTGCAACTTCGATACATAATTAGTTTGTTTATGTTCAACATTGCTTCGTTAGTGCACTTTAGCATCCAAATAGAGACTCGGTGCTGCCATCTAGTGTGGCAGAAACTAGACGTTAAAATTAACATGACCAACGGTATCTTACCCATTGTGGTGGTCCTGAAAGAGTGGATACCACCTCCGGAGAACTCACTAGGTCTGCTCAACGGCAAGACCGATTGCGCAGCTCATTGGAAATGAAAAAAAAAAAACAAAAAAAAAACATTGTTTTGTGCCTGTCTTTGGGTTAAGTAAGAAATATATAGTGAAGGAATTGAAATTTTGTGGAACAATATTAAATGAGTCGCTATATTGTAATTGTGTTATATTATAATGAACCACTATATTATAACGAGTTTCAATATATTATAACGATGACTTTCGATTTTCATATTTTCTCATCAAAATAGGCTGTTTTGTTTTAGTTTTTTTTAAAATATAAATTTCAAAATGGTAACAGGCAACAATTGATTTTTCTTTCATTTTTGTAAAATGGTTTTCGGAAAAAATATTATTTTTGTATTTGTATGTTAATAAAAAGAAAAAAAAGTTTAGAAAGTATGTCATAAAACTGATTCATATAATTTGAAATTGAATAAACTATAGTAATTGTGAAATAATAACAAGAAATATATTTCTTTTCTATCACGCATTCTTTGCAATTCAAATAGAATTTCAAGCCATTTATTGGTGTTTGACATTTAGAAAAACACAGTTACATGATATATGTTTATAAACAATTTAAAGAATTCGCAAGAAAAATGGATTTTATCGAACCCAAAGGATAAAGATTGTATACTGTTTTTAATACAAAACTGTCACTTTTACGATAACGATTCAGCTGTATGTCATTTAAATGCAAATTTCTATGGCGCCCGCGACAGCTTTGTGCAATTGGCGGCATGGCTTGCTAACACTATTTGCTTAGCCGATCGAAGATTTTTCAATGGTACGATTTGTCATTAGAGATTTCAAGAATAATATGTCTGGCATATAATTCAAATTCGAAAATGGCACTACCGTGTATTACTTTTTTTAATTTGTATTTTTTTTACGACATTATTATTTTAGATATCAAGTGTTAAGCAGATGATAGCCTAGTTAAAAGTGTTATAAATTTTCCTATTTAAAACTAATTAAAATTATATTGCTAATGTGAGTTTGAATTTTTAATCATGATATGATGAGATTATATAGACAGCAAAACGTACAATTAATAAAAATTAATTTCAATTTTTATAAAAAACAAATTTATGAACTTTCTTTAAAATAACTTGAGTTTTCCAAAATAAGTTTTGTTACCTTCTTTAAGTCTAAAAAAAAATAAAAAAATGGGTATTTGCACTACAATAAATACGTATTACGTATTACGGATTACGTATACTAACACATGTGACTTATGATGTCATTACCAGCTGATCGTTTATAAACAAAATGGAGTGTTAAAGTTGAGCTAAGTTTCTCTACATATGTTAGAATGGTAATTAACGTGAAATTAATTAACTGCAGTGTCGTATCGCGCATCGTATTTGTTGAAATATGATTCTTTCTTGCCTACGACTTTTACTTAACTTAGATTTACTTGTATTATTTGCTTATGTATTTTATTGTAGTCATGATATATTTTTAATTTGTGTACGTGGCAATTTCGATGACTAATTAAGTTTGTTTATATTCTACATGGCTTCATGCCTGTCCTTCTGTAAGGTAAGAAATATCTAGTGAAATAATTGAAATCTTTGTGAAAGAATATAGAATGTGCCACTTAAGATAATTGATGCTTGGCGAGCTTTGCTTACCTTACTCGAAATAGAATAGAAAGAATAGTTGTTGACGTCCAATCAGGATTGAGATACCCACACTTCGTCACATGCAGGTATGCTCCTGAAGGAAATAATAAACTATTTCGAAAATGCGCCATTTTCAACTGATTGACAAAACAAAGTCTATTTTTTAAGGTGTATTTTTCTGTAAAAAAAATGTGTCCTTTTTTCTGTGTTAGACGAGTATTTATTAAGCAACTTTTTGGGCAGT